GGTCTCATGGATGTCCACAACTAAGGATTACTTCACTAGATTCATATAGCTTTCAAGTGTATATCTACGACCTTTCCAGGGCCTAAAAATCGAACATCTAGGCCACACAGTGAGCGCTTACCTATTAGGCCACTAAAGTAGAAAGTAGTAGCTAAAACTTCAGTAGTCTCGTGATGTTACATGATAATCACCCACTACTGTTGATTAAATTTGTCCCGTCTCCGATATGATTAAACTCTGTCAATCTTAGATTCTCACTAGAATTTAGGGAATTTCTTTTAAGAGTAATTATCAATCAACAGATACATACTCGAATTTTGTATTATTGTTCATAAGCTAATATTTATCCAGAAAATTGTCGAATTTTATCCATTTTAGTGACAACACACTTCATCAAAATGTAATCCCTATGAGTATAGTATAGTGAAACATTTAAGTCATATAAAAACACATATCACTGTTTTTATCGATAACTTTTATGGTTGTTATAATGTACATTTTGATTAATAGCGTAGTATTAGTTTGTTTTTTTCTTTTTACTGTGATATTCTAATTACATATACATCAATTGACTATTATGAAACCGCATAATTAGTAAAGTTCAACTTATAAGTATGAATCAATTCCTTAGAGATAGAAATGATGCATTTATATATTTATTGCCGAAATGTTCGTGATAATGTCTTCCTACTCACTTTGAAGTTTGTCGTTATATTTATATACTCAGTTTAGAAATTCTCACACCTAACCTATTTTTTATGTACAATTATTTTTTATCTTCATATAACTCACAAAACAAGGAATAAAATGAATAGAGAAAGTGAACCCTATTGATATAGAATAGAACTGAAGTCAATGTAAAGAAAATATAAACAAACTGGCACTCTATAGATAATTATCATATTTAATGTGTTTTATATTTTGAAAAAAAACAAGAAGCAAAAACAAATTCCCACATATATATATATATATATATATATATATATACCCGCTGACACTTGTATAATTTCATAAGAAATTCTTTTAAATATCCCTTTGGGACTAATTTAACAAGTAAACAAATAGAGAAAAGTATCAGTCAGATGAAATGATAGAAGAATAAGAAATAAAGCTATATGATTAACAATTAGTGACTTTTGTTATTATACTCTTTTATTGGTTGTTCATATCGTGATGATGATGACAATAATGTATTTGATTGACCTCTTTATACCTAACATTTTTATTTGTATCAGTAATATTGATCAACTGAATAAATAAGATAAAATAGAAATTAGTATGTAGTATATACCGACAAAATGTTAGTTAGGAAAAGAACTCCTTCAATAATTTCGATGATAGTTTGTGTATGGGGGGGGTAAGGACTGGAAGGAGGGAACTACGGCTGTACGCATATCATAAATTTGTAACTTTCAGCCTTATTTTGGATTAAAGCTGGTTACTAACATGTTTCAAATGTAACCATACAAAAATCATGATATAAATATATTTTTAAATTTTAAATATTCTTCGTGATATATAACATTCTGACAATAGATGAAAACTATGAAAATCAAAATTATAGTTTAATTGATAAATGAAAATTAGATTAAGTTTCGGTATACTTTGTGAAATTCAGGACTTATATTTCATCCTGTAAGAAAACCAATATACTTACATCAAAATACTGATGTTCGAATTGGGAATTAAACCCTGTACTTTCTTCCTAAAGCCCTCAACTTATCTGTTAGCCGTGTATCAAATATACTAAACACTATGAAATAAAACACCACATCGAGATAACAATCACTTAGAATAGACATATTGTTGTGTGTGCCACTGATGTCGACAGATATAAGTAGTATATATTATCAGTCGGAAGTGAAATGCCTGGTGGCAGAAGGTTAAGAAAATCAAAGAGAAGAGAACGAGAACAATGAATGATTGGTATGAAAACGAAGAAACAATGACTTCTGAGACGATTAGTTGACATTTCACAAATAAAGTATTGATTGTATGGCTCTCAGATTTTATTAAGAGATTCTGTAATTTTACATTCAAATACATTTGGTTTCACCCACCGGTGTTTTCATTCACTACAATATGACAGCACAGATTAATCAAAAATAGAACTGAATATAAATAATTTCAAATTAAAAACTGTTACTAGTAGTTGAATTACATTGAAATGATGGTTGAATTAAACTGAATAACTCGTTATAAATATAATAAGTATAACTAATATATAACAGTAATATGTAGAGATGATTTAAATCATTGTAACCTGATTCGGTCTGGGCACCCTGGCAGTATCACAGCCCACACACAAATCAAGTGACTTGTGTGACGCATTTGTATTCGGTGCCCCTTTGTACCAATATTTATGTGTTGAAATCAATCAATCAATCAGTCATTCTAACTTCTATTTATTAAAATAATCTCGTTTCAGTATTTTTCTTGTATATCATTAATATGATACATTGCGAACGCTTTTGTTTTTGTTTTTTCTATAAATAATAATTTTTCAATCAACTTCCCAACATAACGATTCATTTTACAGTTGACTTCTATTGATAATTAAGAATATGATAATAAGTTTTACAAAGCTACACAGAAGACAGTCACTTTTAATTGATTGTCATGATGACATCAAATCATTAAGATAATAGGAAATAGGTATTTAGGATGAAGTTATGTTTCATTCTTAGTTGTTTACTATCTGAGTACTAATTTAATGTTTTGTCAGTTTTCTACATTTAGCAAGTCTTAAGATTACCCCAATCTCTTTTTCTATACTAAAAAACAATATATTAATATACATGATTAAATGCTCTCTCTTTCTCTCTCCCGCTCTCACTCACTCACTCTCTCCCTCTCCCTCTCCCTCCCTCTCTCTATATATGTATATATCTTTCCAAATTAATTTTATGCATTTATTATGGAAAAATATTTTTTTATTCGGTGCCATTTTTTATCCTCTACAAAAAACAAACAAAAATGTTAGTAGAAAATTAATCTGATTATTATAATAAATGAAAGAATTTAGGGCTAATAAACCAGTAGATAAGAATAACTCAAATTTTATATAATTTAAACAAAAGATACTAGAAAGAAAACAGTTCATTTGTTCATTTTTCAATACCATATAGGATTGATGAGAGAATTATATGCTTGTGACGCCCATAAAAGTTAATGTTACTAACATTAGTATCATTATTATTATTATTATTAACAATAATAACAAAAATAACGACCAAGTGACGAGTATAGTTTTAACGGTTTTTCATTATTTCTATTATTAATAAATAGAATTAATGTTTCGCCTCATTTTGAATGTGTACCCATTTACACGCTTCAAAAAAAATGTAAAAATAAATAAAGTCGGTTAAACTTATTTCAATAATGATGATAGACATGAGATGATGTGATAAATGCATTTGTTAATTCGGTGGTCAATTAACTGAAGGTAAACAAAGAGTAAGAGAGGGAGAAGGGATAATGAAATAGATAAATAAATAAACCCATTTTATTTGAAAAGGGTTAAGTGTTTATGCGGGTTAAATTATTCAATGTTTGTGTGGCTTTTCATAATAAAATAAAAAATATTTTTTTCACTATCATTTGATTAGAAAAACACGGAAAGAGACTTTTTTTGGAAAAAATACACTTTCATTAAGTACTCTATACTAAATATGAATTTAAGTATCATTTCGATAAACTAATTGAACAATGAAATCTAAAAGATGATAGGGTTAATTATGATACATTTTTCCTGTAGAAAAAAATATGATGGTTTTTGTTGTTTGAAAAACCGGATTACAAATCATTCAATACTTTTATGCACTCATGTTTATATGTATACATTTCATCTTACGATATGAAGAGAAAATGGTGACTAGCGATGGGATCCAGGACGTTAAGTGGATAACCCGTTGGTGTTTGAAACGACCGACACTAGGTTCGAGTCCCTAAGTGAACACTAACTCTGGGATCCAGGTACACCCGACTGACGTGTCCTAAATAGGAAGAAACATGCATCCTGGGTTCCACTGCTAACTGCTGTCCATCTTTAAATTCACTTGGTGTTGTTTATTCGAATCTTTCCATTAATGTTTAGGACTGCAATTGATCAGTCTCTTATTGGCATGTGTGCATGCTGTGAGTAGTACCTTGATATAGTCTTAATTAACAAGCATTTTAAACAAAGATAGATAGCGACCATCAGTGAACCTATCAGTCTCGCGAGCGAGCGCTTAACCTCTAGACTACTGAGATGGTCGGCATCCAACGGTATTGATGTCTAACTTCAATCAACCCACATGAAGGATCATGGATGTGCACTGTTGAAGAGTTCTATACTAGAATGAAACGGCCATTCAATCCTTCCAGGTTTTCAATAGTGGTCTAGCTTAGATCGACTCCTGAATTCAACTATTAAAATTAATTAGCTTTAATGATTACTAACAAAAACAACAACATAAAATCAGTCCTTAAGATAGCTATTAATATTGTAACATATGATTATTTACATAATTTAGTTGTTTCTTCAGATGTTGGTAAACCTTTAAGTAGAGTCAAATATTTATTCAATATTTTTTTGATGCTTACTGATTTTTAATCTAATTTGAAATAACTATATACTTATATTGAATATCAGAAGGAGGTTTGTGGAGATTTTAGTAGTTTTATATATTTGAAATCATGAGTCAATTGAGGCTAGACCACCATGTAAAACCTGGAAGCACCAGACGGCTGTCTCGTCGTATTGTGGAACTCGCGAGGCGGGATCGTGGATGTGCACTGCTGAGGAGTCCTACAATAGGATGAAATGGCTGTCCGGTGCTTCCAGGTTTTCCATGGTAGTCTAGCTTCAATTGACTGATGATTTCAACTACACAATATCATATTTAGTAATTTGATGGTAATCAATCCATCTATAGAACTAATATGAAATAATATACTTTTAATATTTTTCTCTGTATGTAATATAATTCCTTTTTTTACCTATTTTCTTTATGCAGACGAATGTTTCCACCATTCAAAGTGAAAATTACTGGTTTAGAAAAACGTGCTAAATATATTGTTTTAATGGATATTGTAGCATTAGATGATTGTCGATATAAATTTCAAAATAATTTATGGACAATTGCAGGAAAAGCTGATCCTGAAATGCCTAAACGTATGTATATTCATCCAGATTCTCCATCAACTGGTGAACAATGGATGCAAAAAATCATCTCATTTCATAAACTTAAATTAACTAATAATATTTCTGATAAACATGGTTACGTAAGTTAATTGTGACTTAGTTTTCTTTACATATTTACGTTAATTGATTATTTCACTGGAAATATAATATTCTTAATATTTTTCATCATCAGTAATTTGTGAGTATAAGCAACATTTTAATTTCTTATGCAATAGTTAATCATACTCCTTGGCTATTTCAGTTCAGAAGGGGTTTTGTGGAGATTTTAGTACTTTCATAGTTGAAATCATGAGTCAATTGAAACTAGACCACCAAGGGAAACCTGGAAGAACTGGACGGCAGTTTCGTCCTATTGTGAGACTCCTCAGCAGTGTGCATCCATGATCCTGCCTCGCGAGATTCCAACCCAGGACGTAACAGAGCGCCTAACCACTAAACCACTGAGATGGCCAGCATCTAACGGTGTTAATGTCTAACTTCTACCAATCTACGAAATCTAAGCAACCGTTAACTACTCGTCTTCAGTGAGTTGATGCCTCTACAACAGACTTGGTTGAACTCCACAGGTCAGTGCTTACCACTAGAACTCCAGGAAATATCTCTTGAATTCAGTCACTAGTGAGCATATGATTTCAGTTGGATAGGTTTACTATTTTAATCCGAGACGCCATACATTAAAGTTAAATCTTCTAATTAATTAAACCATAATCATATTTATATTAATCCTGTATTAAACTTTCATTACGATCTAAACTTTATAAATTTCTAGTGCATTTTAACTATATTAGTCACTGCAATACTTATACCATAATTATAAATCAATTTACTTTTCATGAAAATAAAAGAGGTATTATTGTGACTGTTTTAGTCCTTGTACCTTCACAAGTAAAATAAACTGTTAGGTTAACATTTTATTGATAAGTCATTCTGGTCTGTACTCTGTTGATTTTAAACATTTGAAATACATGAGTAATATAAAACAATACAAATGTATAATTTATATTTAGATAATACAATACAGTACAATTAATAAACATTCATATGAAGTTCAATATAACATAAAGTAAAGTGAAATGATATATACTGACTACATTTGAAATCTAGACGGTACTGTTTATTCTAACATGTACAACGAATCGTATAAAGTGTTTACATATGTTAAAGAAAATTAGTTTTTTTTTAAAGAAATTATTTAAACTGTTTTCATTTATTATCATTCTGATGATGATAATAATGCTGATAATTTATCTTCTATGAAATAATTCTCTATTCTTTGAATACATTTATCATACCTTTCACTTCAAAGTGTAACCAATTTGGATTTGTTTAACAACAACAACAACAGAATAGTATTGTAAAGAAGAACAAGCAACTCTGTAACTAAACGGTATTTAACACAATAAACATTAGTAAATAAATAAATAACTATTGAATAGAACGAGTGTAAAAAAGAGAAAAAGAAACATTTAGCAGTTTATTTAGAAGTTAGATATCAACAATATTAGATATACTATTCACCTTTTTATTTATTTTGGTTAAAGAAGGTAATTAGTTCAATGTACAATGATTTTTTAACTACTTAACATGTCTAAACAATGTGGTACATTGTATTCTTCAATGAACAAGATATAATTTTTGAAAAAATAAACGATGTATATGTCTATATGAAGTAATATAATATTTGAATATTGTTTATGTACACATATTTGAATATTGATATAAATTTTGCACATGATCATCATGAATAAAACACATGCCATAAATGGTGTTGATTCTTATAAGGTCAATATTACCCGCATTTTGAGTATTGCCAAATAAAGCTTTACATTTATTTTTCTATTATAAACATAGATTTACATTAGCTTCAAAAGAGAATAGCGAATCGATAAATTGGTGAAATTTATGATGATGAAAAATATTTTGAGTAACTTCTGAGCATATTTCATCATTTCAATTGTATAACTATTCCTAGAACTATGATAAAGATGGATAGTGGCTAGCAGTGGAATACAGAACGCATGTTTCCTCCTGTTTGGGACTCGTCAGCTAGATGTACCTGCATCTCAGAGTTGATGTTCACTCTGGGACTTTTTATGTTATAACGTAACATTTTAAAAAGAGATGTAAATAGGTATTATTTACATCTATTAAACCATAATAGAATATTGCATTAGTATATAATCAGCGGAAGTTCAAGAATAGTCTATTTTATAATCTTCATTAATTAACAATTATCTCATGTGTAACTTACACTGTTACGGTTGAAAAAAAAGTAATTTAGATTACTTAATTATATTTGTAGTCAATGAGCTAGCGGTTATAATTTTTTTTAAAATTATTCAGCTAAGATTCACAAATTAATCCTGTGAACAAATTATCAAGTTGACTAATTTGATCATCATAACATTTTATTATATGATCTATGCTATCCCTAAATCATTGAAATTATTTACTTGAAAGTTATAGAAATGTTGAATCACATTTGAAATAATATTTGATTCACTTGTTAAGTAATAGAATCCTTTAGTAGAGAGTTGTGGAGATTTTTGAATTCTGTTGAAATCATGATGTGATCAGTGTTAGACAAACATTGAAAATCTGGACGCATTTCGTCCTAGTACGTGACTCATTGGCAGTGGGCACTCAAGACTCTGTGCACGAGGATCGAACTCAAGACCATAGGTCTCGAAATTGAACGCTTGATCTTTAGACCACTGAGTAAGCATCCAACGTTGTTAATGTTTAGCTTCATCGCGGATGCGCACTGTTGAGGAACCCCATGCTAGAACTAAGTGGATTTCCTGTGCTTCCTGGTTTACAATGGTGGTCTAATTAAGACGCACACTTAGTAGTATTACAAAAACACAAACCTTGTACTCAGTCACATCTTTTAGGATTTAAAATTGAGTCATTCACAAGCCTATTCAGTCAGTGTTTTGAAAATAAAATAATTTTATGATGTTTAACCGCTTACAGAACTGGAGTATTTCGTTTAAATTTGCTAAACAATGTGTCAATCGAAATATTTAGGTAATGGTGATATTTGAATTTAACTAACTTCAAAGTGTGTAATGGCTACAGTACAAATTTATATTAGTACTATTCAAAATAAATTTATAATTCTCGTCTGTGAATCGAATTCAAAAATATAAAGGAATATACATGTTAGATTTGTGACAGAAGAAAACGTACCTAATCCACAACTAAAGTGTTACCAATGTATAATATCTATATGACTTGTATATGTTTCATGCATGTACATATTCTGTTTATTGTGTGTTTTTCGGTGAATAATTAACAGAACAGACAATATTCTGGGTTATTTTCTGTTCCATTTGTAAATAAATAAAGCGAACTGACATCAAAGAACTCATAATGAAAATATATCCCACAAAAGATTAATAAAAATAATAATTTTCCTGTGAATTACTAACAATCTCCCACTTCAATCTACTCGAATGAATATAATCCTTACTGTAAATATATCTATATATGAATTGAACATATGCGTGTCACGTATGTCTGCATTTTTATTCATTCGTGTATAGTTTATTATCATTTAGAGAATATCAGCTGGATGAAACTAGTAGTTAAGGCCTTTTCTGAAAACTTGAAATAATTTTATCCTATTAATTAACAAAATATGATCAAAGTCTTAGTAACTGAACTTTGTCACTGAAAGACAATAAAGATACGGTCGATAAAATTTAATAAATAGTGGTGATAGCTGTCAGTTAGGGGGGTGAGCGGGAAACTGTATAGGTAAAATAAAATAGAGTCAAAACAAAGAATAGAGAAATTTACTAAATGGTATAATGCATATATGTATATCCATATCGTGTTCGAGATGTATGTGTACAGTTTAAGGAGGCTGCAAATCTCATTCAGTGACGCTTGAAAGTGATAATTGACATCAAAAATAAAGTATGAGATCAAATAACATGTAACATACACAAAAAAGTAATAAATCTGGATCAAAGTGAATTATTTTTCTTGATTATTTTTTATATTTCATATAAAAAATAATATATGATTGATTGGTATTTGCAATCTATTACCATACATATGGATTATCGTTATGATTATGTAATAATGAGATCATGAAATATATTCAGTTGTATGACTAGGATTGAATTACTTAAGTAAACTTATGGTAAATTATTTCACTAAGGATTAATACTATTATGACAGAAACGCAATATTTCAACACTTGAATGGTTATTTTTCAGTTAGTTTCTTCATTGTAAATGAGAATGAGGGATTTAATTCAGCAAATCAGCTAAATTTGATCGATTATTATGATATGACTGGAAATATATTTAATTATTGTGTATTTTTCTTATTTCATCCAAATTGAATTTTTATGATGAGTCAGTTGCAAATCCACAGATTTTGGATCAACTGATAATTACTTTAGAAAAATCTTTTTCTATTCAGTATACAATGGTTTAGAATGTATTTCACAGGATTTGCACTACTTTTTTGTAAGAAAGTATCTTAAATTTTAAGAGTAATTTTTGTAAAAGACTAATATCAACCAAAACCAAGAAAGATCAATCACCCCAATCCATTTTAATTTGAAACTCTTAAACTTCACGTACCAACGACGTTAAGAGCTTGAAACTTTAAAGAGAGTACAAAACAGATAATTTTCCTTCTAAGAATGGAATGTTTCATATTTCCAAATTAGGATAGGCCGTAATCCTCACTCTATGTTCGCAATAAATAACTATTTCAAATCTCTGAAATGGTCAACCTTACTGATCTCCTATTACAACATTGGTAACTTCATCTCAATTTGAATTAATAGTAAATATACAATAATCATTTAAGTAGATCATTTCATCAATTAAATAACATAACTTATAAGTAATTTCCATTATGGATCGACATCACCTTAAGAAATGTTCTATCTATCAAGAAATTCATTCTTATAGAATGTTATGATAATTACGGTTTGATGAATGAATTCCAAATGAACTCTCATTTACAAATAAAATAAGAACATATTAGATATGTAATTATTAATCAATCTATTACGGTATATTTTAAATTCAGTGATCATTTGATAGTTTTCAGATCAACTGTCTAAATGTGTAACATGTAGTTTTCCGTACAGACAATCAGATTTGTTTTGTTAGCTCAATACTTTAGCCTAATGTACATTTAAGCAGTGTTATTCCGTCAACATTAATGATAATTACAACAATAACTAATTGCAATACAATAAGAACTCACTGAAGACAATTGGTGAACGGTTGCTCAATTTCGTGGATTAGTTGGAATTAGACACAAGCACCATAGGATGCCAGCCATCTCAGTGATCTATCGGTTAAGTGCTCTGGTGCGAGACTGGTAGGTTTTGGGTTCGAATCTCGCGAGGCGAGGTCGTGGATGCGCACTGCTGAGGAGTCCCATAATAGGACGAAATGGTTGTCCAGTGCTTCCAGGTTTTCCTTGGTGGTCTAGCTTCAATTGACTCATGCTTTCAACTACAGTACAATTATTTATTTATTTTTTTCTTTAAATGAATCAATATTTAAAAAAATTATTTACAACTAAACATCTTTTTTTTTTCAAATTAATCTTTGTTTTTTTCCATTAGACAATATTAAATTCAATGCACAAATATCAACCAAGATTTCATCTAGTACGAGCTAATGATATATTAAGATTACCATATTCAAAATTTCATACTTATACATTTAAAGAAACTCAATTCTTAGCAGTTACTGCTTATCAAAATGAAAAGGTAAGTTAAATTAACAAACTGTATTTGTTCTGTATTGATTATGTATAATACACAAAGAGTATCACCATTTCAATTGATGTAGTTTAGTAATCATTGAAAATGATTGATTGAATCTAATTGAGATACTATTGTACACCTTGAAGTATTTACACCATATATATATATATATATATATATATATATATATATATATATATATATATATATATATATATATATATATATATATATATATATATATGGTTGAAATTCACTGGTCATGACTTCTTACTAGAATTTCAGAAATTATATCTTGATGCTAGTCAACAGTAAGCACATGACGTCATTCTGTTCTATTAACTATTATTCAAGAGTGGATACTCTTGATTCTGCCAGCAAATGAACCCAATATATATAGGCCTAATATCTTATACCTATGTAAATACTTATGTAAATATATAGTGTATAGCAGTAAAATAAACTAATAATATAAATGGTTTTATATGATACATTTTTCTAAAATATATTACTATATAAATTTTACGTGTTAAATTCATAGATAACACAATTGAAAATAGACAATAATCCATTTGCTAAAGGATTTCGAGAATCTGGTGGAGGGAGACGTGATAAAAAGTGAGTTTTAAATAAGATTTTATTATTGTTATTATTCGCTTTTGTCAATATTACATTTTTGGTACAATATAGAATTCTCAGTACAAAGTACTTCAATAAGTTTCCATTTCTTACATCTTGGTTAATTTTGATGATAAATATTGAGTGGTCGCCAGTTAGAAGTCAGCAGTTCAAAAGTCGGCAACTGAATAATGTACATTCTTTTCTCTGAATCTTGCCAGCAACCACGGTGTCTCTGATTGGGCTTTTTTGTAACCTGTATAGGGAAAGTTTGTAAACTTTTCATAAACGGAACTGAATAGGTTATGCGAATAATAAACATAATGATCTGTTGAAAAAAACAAAAACAGATAACATCCGATCAAATATCTAAAGGACAGAAACAGGTATCCCAAATGTTCAAGCAGGTCACCAACTATTCAGTAACAGTATTTAATAAAATGAAATCATCATTTCTATTGGTTATCATTAAATTTGTCAAAAAGATTTTGAATATACATAAAAATGAACAAAATTTTTTATTCATGACTAGTTGAACTAATATTTAAACGAAACGGTAATTTACTATTCATCAGAAGAATAATTCTGAGTTGATACTTTTTCTTAATGAGTTAATATTACTAAACATCATCTTCTGTCCATGGTAGTCTAGCTTGAATTGAATCATGATTTCAACTATAAAATTACTAGAATCACCACAAAAAAGTCCCCTTCTGACAATAATCATGAGCTCACTAGTGACTGACCCCAAAAGGCATTTCCTGGAGTTCTAGTGAGAAGCAGTAACCAGTGGAGTTCAAGCGGGAGATATCAATTCACTGAAGACATTGGTGGACGGTTTCTCAATTTTGTGGATTGGTTGAAGCTAGACATTAACACCGTTGAATGCTGGCCAGCTCAGTGGTCTATAGGTTAAGCGCAAGACCGACAGGTTCTGGGTTCGATTCTCGTGAGACAGGATCGTGATGCGCACTGCCACTGAGGAGTCTCGCAATAAGACGAAACGGGCATCCAGTGCTTCCAGGTTTTCCTTGGTGGTCTAGCTCCAACTGACTCATGATCCCAACTATTAAAAATTACTATAATATCCACGAAAACCGTTTCTGATATTAATCAATAACAGTTAGTTGAAAGTTTCTTATGAGATTTAAAAAATATAATATATAAAGGCTCGAAACTATTAAATGATATGAATAAAACTGGTATATATTGTATATGTGTTAAGATAAATAAATTTATTTATATAACAGTATTTTTATATAGTGCTGTCTGTGAGCTGTTATCTCAATCACAACTCGAATAACTTCACAAGTCATAGTTTTTTTTACTAAACACTTGAAAAGTCTATCTCAAACCTAGTTCACAGTAAGGATGTAATTAATTAGACAGTTATTCGATGATTTCTTGTATAGTATGTAAAAATATTTTATTACAAATTGTCAAGGAATAGCAGTGGTAGTAGTAGTAGCGATAGTAGTAACAGTGATAAATATTGTGACATTTACATTCATAACTATATTCTTTTCATTATAGGCGATTAGATCATTTAAAATATCCAAATCGACCTATCATTCATAATTGTGACGATGAACAAAAAAATGGAACACATGAAATTTATGAAAGTCCTAATAATACATCATCGGATACAGAAAATGAACATGAATTTGATGATTTAGATATGCATTTACCATCACAATTTGATAAACATAATTTATCTATGAAAAAATTATTACCATTACATATGAACAGAACAGAGTTGAAATCTGTTAAACATTCTAATAAACGTAAGTATTTGTCCTCTTTACTTTTTTAAAAATGCTCTATGTACACATTAATACTTAACAATGCCGGCTCAGTGGTCTATCTGTCAAATGCTCTGACGCGAGACTGGTAGGTCCTGAGTTCGAATCTCGCAGGGAGGGATCGTGGATGCGCACTGCTGAGGAGTCCCACAACAGGATGAAACGGCCGTCCAGTGGTTTCAGGTTTTTCATGATGGTCTAGCTTCAACTGACTCATGATTTTAACTATATAAAATTGGTAAAATCTTCACAAAACCCCCCTTCTCATACTTAACAGTGAGCGTTTCCATTATCGACCATAAAGCTAGTCTTGGAATTATTAAAATTCAATTAACATTAAGCAGTACAGATCTAGGACTCTTAATCAATTTATACTAATCAACGAATTCATTCAACAAAACTAATTTCGAAATCTTTACACTTCCCATTCGTTTTGTTATGACTAAACAATCATATTTAGCAATGTTATTTTACTATAGAATACATCTCATAACAATACATTAAGACTTCGGACAGTTGAATATAAACTTAGTATAACAATATGAAAAAGTACTTATTCTCCAATTGATATCATTGCTATGAAGATTATTATAAAATTAAATAACTCTCTATAAATTAACTAATTAAGGAAACAATGTGAAGTTATCTATTCTTTTTTCAATGTTTTATGGTAATGCAATATTCAGTGGTTTCAAGAATTTTTACGTTCGCTTAGTATGTCATTATTGGGTATAAAAGGATAATTTTCTCTGAGGATTTTATTTTAATTATCTAAAACCATTTACATACGTCTTCTATGAACACGACATTGTGGCATATTCAATACTTCCCGGATGAAAAAAGTAAATAAAGTGCGAGTTAGATCTTAAAGTGAAATCTTTAGTAAAAGCTATTCTCTTACATACATCACTCATCCACTAAATAAATGAAAAATGCCAAAAAATGACTGATTTCATGCATAAATTAAACACTGAAAAAGCAAATAAATAACCTTTTCTAATATTCGCGTTTGATTGAAATTAAAAAATTATTTTTTACTAGTTTGTGGTTGCAGAGACTGTTGAGTTTCATTGAAATCATGAACCGGCCAATTTTAGAACACTATTTAAAACCCGGAAGGACTGGACGGCCGTTTCGTCTCAGTATGTGAATCCTGAGAGATGACCATCTACGACTCAGCAATCAGGGACCGAACCCGGGACCTTCGGTCTTGCACGCAAACGCTTAACCTCTAGATAACCATCCAACAATGTTAATGTCTAACTTTAATCAATCCATGGTGTTGTACAAACATCTTCCATTGTCTTCGGTAGGTAATCTCTCCACAGCCGACACAGTTGAACTCCACTGGTCATAGATTCTCAGTAGAACTCTCAAAGCTCCCTCTTGAAGTTAGCCACTGGTGAGCACATGATAATTATCAGTATAATGTTGTAAATATTGTTGAGTGTGTAGAGTAGTGGATGCTCACTGATAAGGAGTTCCATACTCGGAAGAAACGGCTTTCTACTGCTTCCAGGTTTTCAATGATGGTCAAACATTGATCGGTTCATTGTTTTAATGAAATTTTTTTGTTTAAACGGAATATACTTAGTAGTAATTCACAACTCATTGTGACAATGAGCATAAGATCTTTTATGGTTGTAAGAAACGGTAATTTGGAAACTTGATAATATATTTTTTTCACTAATTTATTTAATATACAGGGTCCGTCCAGTAAATATGAGAAATGAGCTACTGTGGTTTTTCAGTAAAATTTAGAAAAAAAATTTAATAAATGTCCAGAATTATCAAATCCACTGACTGTTTCCATGAGGACTATGAAAACTCCAAGGATCAATAAAATTCGGAATGACTTCCAATCTTTTGTGCTAATGAAAACATTTATTGTGTTTCAATAGTCGGTTTAACTTCTGGTTAATTGTCAATGAGTTGAACTGGATAACATTTTCGTCGTGCATAATTCCAGACAAAACATTTAAAATTGAGGAAGTTGCTAATAAATTGTGAAACGACAAAGAAGTTGAAAAAGTCAACTTCTGAAGACTTTTAGACGAGTTTTGTGAATTGTAAATAAACATATGACAAGAGGATAAGATCGATGTAGCACTAATTTTGTAAGAAATTTTTTTCGTCTATTGTCGAACATTTGTTAAACTAGCTACATATGTCCAATATAGAGGTTTGTAGAGAGTGCATAATTCTGTAATCTCCACAAACCTTTTATAGTAGTTATAGTTATGTGCTCATCGATAATTAGCTTCAAAATGTAATTTCTGGAATTGTAGTAAGAAGTCATGAGTAGTGAATTTCGACCATGTCATGTATGAGACAGTTATCCACCCCAAGGAATGGAAAATGTAATATCTTAAATCCGTTGAAATCAAATTTGTTCACTATTTGGTGAAAAATTAATGGTTTAAATGTTAAGCGTTTTTACTCAAGACTGAAGTTCCTGAGTTGGATTCCTTGTGATAGAGCCATGAATGTGCACTTCTGTAGAGTGATTAATGGGACAAAACACCTGTTAAATGCCTACTGGCTCTCAACGGTTGTCTATATAAAATATTTTTGTGTGATTTAAATTAATTGTGTTCAAATTCAGATGGAAAAATATGACTACATAAGTGATCTGAACCGTAAACATTGAAAGTGATTCAATAAATACATCTAATAATAATAATATTAATGGTTACCATTGTTTATATTAGATGAATATCCTTTCTTCTCTCCTCCTAATTATATTCTTGAAAATAATGATGATATTTATACTGCAGTTACTCAATAAAGAAACTTTAATTACACTAAATATGTCCGTGACGTACTTAATACATAGACGATCAAGTTTAGGTGTTCTGTTCGTTTCGATTTTCTATTTTTCATTCTATTCTGTGGCTGAGATTATCTGCAATGTTTTCAGGGCTCAATAACTGTTATGTATTCAGTACTTTTGGCAATTTTTCTGTTCATTTAGTGAATGAATGTTGTTGATTGAAATATAATTTTCAATAAACATCCCATGTCAGGCATTTGAGAATATTACTGAAGAGAAACCAAATATGAAGATTAAAAACATATGCAAATATACTAAACGTTAAAAGCTTGCTATGAAATCTTTAGTGAAAATCATGCTCTAACATGAAACTTCCCTCGCTAAATAAACGGAAAAACAGATGAAAGCATCGGTTCTAACACACTTATTGAATGTCGTCCATTCAATTAAATTTATTTTTTAAAGGAATCGAGGCAGTTTTACGTATTAGATCGTGTTTTGTCTTGGAATATGTGTGTGCAATGTAAATCTATAAAAACCTTAATAACAGTAATAAGCATGACCCAATGATTTGGTTGTCACTGTTTGTGTGTTCTCTTCCTGTACAACTGAATGCTCGTTCACATAAATGAACAAGTTAGAAAAAATAAACGAGAAATAAGTCTTCTTTTATTATTTTTTCTTCATCCATCATATAAAATAAAAATGATAATTACGAGATACTGGGAGATAATGTAAATAAATTATAAAGGTCAGAAGACATGATAAGGGAAGGAAGTTTGGTTATGATATACCTAGTGGGAAACCATTGATAACATAGAAATATGTTATGTGTGTGTGTGTGCATATACATGCACATATATATATATATATGTATCAGTAACGCGTGTTAACATAAATTAATGGGTTAATGGAACTTTTTTTTTCTAAAAAAAAAAAGAAATATAATTTGGGACAAATTATGCTTGACGAAACAAATATCAACTCAATATTAAAATATTTGAATCAGTTCATGATGAAATTTTTACACATGAATCTTTACAACAAAAAGTTCTCATCACATTTTCCCGCTGAGTATAAATTACTACACCTAATATTATCTATCATTTTAAAAAAAGCATGAAATATTCATGTGTTGCTAAGGTTCATAACATAAAAGAATTATAAAGGGATAAGGAGGATAGAAAGAGAGAGAGAGCAGACTTTATACATTATCAAAGTGTTTTTAATTGTGTCTTAAGATCAAAAGAAAATAAAGTGAGAGGACAATATGTCATTGAACATTTAAGCATTTATTCAATATAATTAAAAAGTTTTATCTTTTGTTTCTCAGTCACATTTTTCCCAAGAGTTATCAATTACAGCTACAATGAAAAACGTGTATTTCATATATAAACCATCTGCACAGTATATGATTTCGATGACTGGTATTTGTTATAAGAGATGATAGTTTTATATAATCAGATTACGTCTATTTAGTATTTAAAAAAATCCAATTTATCCAGTTTACTGAAATGTATTCACTTTTTTTCCATGTAAATCTACTACACACTGATTAGTGTGTTGTAATCATTAAATAGATACTCAGATCGATGAACCACCCCAACAGTTAGCTATAAGTTATATTTTTTTTAGATGATCATTGTTATTATTATGAGTACTGTTACTAAAAACTATACATTTTTTGGAAATCTATGTGCAGGATTTGCATTTTTCTCCTCCAATGTTCTCACTCTAATGCGAATGGGAAGATATACAGGTTTGAATGTCCTAATATCAATGTGTAGTTTAGATTTAGTACTTGCGTTTAAGGTTTAGTGAAGTGTTAGTAATCTGTTTTCTGTCTGTCTGTTTAAAAAACATTGGGAAACAGAAAGTGTTTCATTATCTTAGAATTAAGTGACCATTGTCCCGATCTTCTAAATGGGCCTGCTTAATATATGCAACAAATTTCGGGGTGAAATTTTACCATTGATTGCTTCCAAATTATTTTCTTCTTACATACTTTAAAGATCGTATAGAGCTCACAAAGAAGTGATCTGAGGGAGCAAATTTACTTTGAGACCATATATGTATTGGTCACATTCCCCCCCCAATACAAGAGCACCATTACACTCATTGCAACCCAACAATGGTTGTTTCTTGATATTAGTCCTGTTTTCAATTCGGTGGAAAAGAACTATCCTCTGAAATCTTCTGCCAAAGAACGATGTAACTTAGAAGTTTGTTTGCATCTTGCTTAAGGAATGTCACGTTATTAGATATGACTTAGAATAGTGAATAATACTTTTCTTAAAAATCACGAAAAGAAATTTAAACATAGTTTTTTATTGTTGAACGATTAAAATAATTTCAGTGTTTAAGAATGATCTGTTTCCAGTGTTTAGAATTCAATTATGAATTGCCAAGTAACTAGATAACTATGTAATCTCCATGTTATTATGCTGTACTTAATAAATCGTGTTTACTTTGTTGGAAAGTTCATTTGAACTACTTCTGTATTATATTTTCTTAGTAATTAACACTTTTATTGTAGAAAACAAAATTACGATACTTACTTACATTAGAGAATTCAGTTAATGGTATAATCAAACTCTTTAACAGTTTTGATCAAATATGTAATCTTTTGTAATAAAAGTGGATTTCTAGACTATTCATAAAACAAAAGTGATGTTATATGCACTTGGTGTTGTTTACTTATATCTTCCCATTGTTATTCGGGACTGCGATTGATCAGTCTCTTGTTGGCATATGTGCATCCTATGCGTACTGCCTTGATATTGCCCGAAGTCACAAGCTTTATAAGCATCAACTCTGAGATGCAGGTACATCCAGCTGACGAGTCCCAAATAGGATGAAACGCGCATGCTGGATTCCACTGCTAACCACTATCCATCTGTTTATAAAAGTGATGTTCATCTTTATTTTTATTAGATATGGATAATTTCTATACACAAAACATTTAAACCCTCGTAGTTTTAAACTTAATAATATAATTTTCCATCGTTACTGAACACCCCCCGAAACTATTAAAACCTTAAGAAAACGATTTTTCGAAAATTCTTACGATTCCAACTGTCATAGTTTCGTCGTATTCTTAGTACGTTCTATAAATATGAATCATTATTGTTAAATGATATTGGAATATTTCGTAAAACAAACAACAATAAGCAACTATTTCATGTTAATTTTAGTCTTTTTATTAGTGAACATTGACAATTCGATTTCTGATTAAATCTAGGAACTTCAGATTTATCACCAAACAAGATATATTTAGATGATTTAGTCGAAATTCAACGGCTTACTCTTATTTTAGTGATTACTTTCTTCAGTCTTTATAAATGTCACACCAATAGATCTTTATAAATATCCCAACAAATAAATTTATTAAATTACTGACCCTATAAATAATTGAAAAGGATTGGTTTATACTGGCACTATGACCAGTTTGTACTAAATGGGCTAATATCGAGCTGTTTACTTTCTTCACCAAACCTTTACTTAGCCACGCTGGGAGCACGAAAATGTAAAATCCTAAAACTTCGACCAATATAACTTGCTCCACAGGAGCAGTCGAACTGATAAATATAAAATGAGGAGGTTATTCTGGGTAATTCATCTTTAAGCCTCGGTGTCACCATTGGGCGCGTAGAAAACACTAAAATTAGTTCCCCGGTGTTGAAAGATTTTTGTATTGATCTGTGTAATCTCCGAGTTAGTATTTTGCTAGCTACATCCCATCTGAATTGTAGGTGCATGAACAAGGACTTCTTCTTGACCGTTTGAATTTCGCTTATTTTGACTTTCATGATCAGATATTTAATTATAAACTTTCTGGGGTAACCGTTCTCCCTCAGAGCATTAGGCAAGGTGTCTAGTTCATCTTACTAACACCAATGAATAATAAACTTTCAAATATCATGTAAATTGTTACTGAGACTGCAGAATATTCAAGTTTCATTGTGAATATCAACAATTTGATCAAAGTTTATCTAGACAACAATTCCTAAATAAGACAAAACGCACATGTTGATCTTTACTGATAACTGTTATCCATCTTTTATAAACATTTAGGTAACAAATTACATAAATCCCTCCCTTTTTCATAAAGTTAATTATTCCAAAATATACAATTTAATTACAACATACTTTATACTTTATTTTTCATTGGTTTAGGTAATGGATCTAAAGGATTAGTTGATTTTACTGGACGAGTTGGAAAAATACGTCGAACACATCAACATAATCAATACTTTTATTCTTCCAATGATAATATACATACAAAAGATTACTCTGTAAATAATAATGAACATAATTTATATTATCCAAAAGGTATTGTTGATTCAATACAACATAATTCATCATCAATGTTTTTATGTTCATCTACATTAAAAAATAAAAATAATTTATGTTCATTACCTTATACAGATTTAAAATGTAATTCATTAGGTAATATATCTAAACTTAATGAAATTCCACCTAATGTAACTGTTATATCAAGTGAATCCATTGGATATTTTAATCAACATACATCACAATCGGAAAAAGTTATTGATTCGGAAAGAATTGAATCTTCTACTTGTACTACTCCTCCTCCTCCTACTACTACTAACAATAGTGATAATAATAATAATACTGTTAATAAACAATTCAATTCTAGTCCATTGAATAAATTTCTTTCAAATTGGACAAATCATTTTACAGCACAATTAATTCAAAATCAATTATTTGATCAAAAATTATCTAATTATTCAATGCCATCCGAATCATCTTTACCACAATCGATTCCATTAGCAACAACATCACCAATACAGAATTCTTTTCAGAATTCAATGCAATATTTACAACAATCAAATGAATCCATAAATAGATCTCATTTTAATTCTATGAATCCATTATCAAATTATACTGCAAATTTAGCTATTTACATGCAACAATATCCTCAATTTTTATCACACATTTTATCATTATTTCAACAGAATTCTTTACCTTTAGATACATCTCATAGAAATTATGTAACTACATCAAGTCCACAATTAAATGATAATAATATTGGTACAACTAGTCAATGTCCAATTAATCATAATTATAATTCTACTATGACTAGTCAAAGCAATAACAATGATACTACTTCATGTAATAGTGATGTTATAAATGAAGATGTAGATATAATCATGTCTAAATCGAAATTAAATTCAGAACAACGATCCCCTGACTTTTCTATTGATGCGCTAACTAGTTTACAGCAAAATTCTAGATCACCAAAATCAACAAATCAATCTATCCCATCATCATTATCATCATCATCGTCTTCTTCATCACCATCACCATCTTCATCAACATCATCCGCTTCTTCGCATATAGTTATCAATGAATCATTACCTGTACAGTCAATGGATTCAGATGATCAGTCAGTTTATAAACAACCAGAAAGTGATTCCATGAATTAAATATCTACAGAGAAAAAGAATATCTTTCAGTAGACAATAACAATAATAATAAACATGCATTATAGTCGTTTCTTTAAATCATATGGTCATTTTGCCTTATTGTTCAATGAATCTAATGTATATGTATTTATACATACATAAGAGATGATTAGAAAAACAATATAAATTCTGTGATTAAATTACAAATGTTAATGACCAATCTTTATGTAATCTTAATTAAAATAAACTCCATCATAATCATCCACTGAGCTATAAATCTTCTCCACCGTACTGTTTATTTTGTTCTTGTCTAATAAACCAAAAACACACACACAACTAATCTCCATGACTACTATATAATTCAGTAATATATTAACTTTACTATAATCGTATTCAGAGTTCACATTAGACTATAAACCGTAATAGAAATTATTCACTAAGAGTAGAATCAATAAAAGGTAGTACACTGATTTTTCCTCAAAAATAGAAAGAATACAGAATAAATAAAACAAGAAAAAAGAAGAAGAAGAAATAGTCATAATAATAAAATGAATACAAGACAATTGATTCAAATTGTTATCATTCCATCTATTTATCAGAATATTACAACATATTACTTAAATAGCAAATATATACAGTGATAAATTTTTACTTACGGTGAAATATATAATTTATTAGTTATGTGTATATCATCTACATATGTGTAATGCATACAATTAAATGTATAGTCAGTAAATACATTCCGTTTTATGATTGATTCTATTATTATTGTTTTGTTTTGTTTTTTGGTTGTTATTGTCAATACTACTTACTATCAGACACTGAAAAAAACACATTCAAATCAACTAGTTAGTTTGCAAAGTTAATCTACTTAAGTATTTAATTCAGTAGTATGATTGCATGATAATAGTATCCATTTATGATACATTGAAAACTGTATATTGTCCAGTAGTAATGTAATAATGTCAGGCATTATTTGATTCATTTAACTAATGAACTTTTTAATGTCTATCAATTCATTGATTTTTGAATTTGCTTTTTCTTTCAACTATACTCTTCTTCAGTAAAAAAGATATCCTGATTGGTAGTATTCTACAGTTGACATTCCTATGATTAGTTTTTTATTTAAATTTTGATTCCACTTTAATTATATTCTTCTGAATTGACCATTTTGTATTTATTCCACCAAATGATTAGAGAAAGGAATGAGAGATAACTTCTTTCTAAGAAAAAACCAAAACATTTTTATTTTCCATCCAGACATTTAGAACTTTCATGATAAAATGATATGTATAAACGTGTAATCTACTTATGAGTAATATTATGGTTTTTTTTTCATTTCTCTTCAATAAAATTTACGATTAGTATTGTTGTTACTATAACTTGGGGAAAATTATTTAATGAATATAAACCATAACATGTATATTGATTTGGAGATGAAGGGGTTGATTGTCAAGTGGTCGCGTTGATTACCTGTCTCATTCTCGACACAATTGAAAGTTTTCAGTCATGACTTGGGCAATTTTTTTATTTGTATCATTTGTGGGAAATAGTCAAATTTAAAACTAATTTCGTTACAAACTGATATAAATTTAGGAACGGATGCAAATGAAGAACTATTGGATAGTCGTTTTGTTCTATGCAGTAACTATTGATAAATGCGTAAACCCATATCTTTATATGGTTGAACTTGAGACTTTCAGGTTTATCACACAGCTGAAATCCAATAACTCGAGGTTTTAACTCTAGTTAATTCATGATATTGCCCAGTGACGTTAGTCTGATGTTTTCTGCAATATCTACTAGTGGCATGAAGTTATGAGTGATAGAGTTTATTTAAGTGAACAAAATACTTAAGACTATCTCATGTTTTATCATCATAACTAAATACTTGAATTAGTTACAATGCTTTTTATTATTACCACTACTACTAGCAATACCTGTTGTCAGTACAGTGTAAAAATATGTCAGTGACCCTACCAAAATATGCTGACATACAGTATTACTTAACTTTTTTTAAATAACAGAAAAATTTACGACTAAAATCTATTTCACTTGTAAACATTATTTTGTAAATAATCTTATTAGTCTACTTATATTTTACACCAGAATGGCAAATAAACATAAATAAGGAATCTAATCTTCATTTCGTCAATATATTGCTATACATATCAATAACGATAAACACGAAAAAATCTATTAAAAGATGTGTGTATCTGTAATCATACATCTAATCTTTCTATCTTTGTGTTTGTGTGGTAGATCAAAAAGGTGAATTGAATAAGAGCAAAATATAATACGTATATTTTTAAAAACAAACAATTATATGAATATACTACATACACCAATTTATTGACCACATCATAGTTATCTGCTACACAAACATATTTAAATGAATAGTGGCGCCATATAACCAGTAAAATGTTATATTCTCAATATAATTTATGGTTCATTATATATATATATATATATATATATATATATATATATATATACTTACGCCTGTTAACCCTCGTCGAGGAGCATAGGCCGCACACCAGTATTCTCCATTCAACCCTGTCCTGAGCAATCGTTTCCAGTTGTTATTCATCCTTTTCATATCTGCCTCTATTTTCCGGCGTAATGTGTTCTTTGACCTTCCTCTTTTCCACTTCCCTTCAGGATTCCAAGTTAGGGATTGCCTCGTGATGTAGTTTGGTGATTTCCTCAATATATATATATATATATATATATATATATATATATATGGTTAGTTAGTTAAGTAAGAAATATCATGTAGATACTAGTTATTTTATCATTCAGTAAATGAATAATTGACAATGATTCCCAAATGTTAACAAAATTATTCATATTACTATGAACACATTTAAATTATGACTGAAAGTTCTAAAAATAATCGGTGTGTTGAAAATAAAACTTAAGAATGGGTGATATTTTACAATATTGTATGTATACTGGAAATAAAACCATAAAAACTATTCATTAGAGAATAAGTAAAATAACTTTCCAATGTTGTGGATAGGACTTTCAATATAACAATAATTAGTAAATTAAATCAATTATTTTAAGATGATTGATAACGTGCATGAAACTGATATAGCGAGACTGCAATTTATGGACGAACCAATCAGATATAAGATAACACGTTTTTGATTTGATTCATACATCTATTTGGCATTTTAGCTGATATCAATTCATGATGAAAACCTTAAATCTAGTTCCTAACCCTGACCGTCAACTGTAAGTCACAATTTTAATTCCTCATAGTGCCTTATAACCCTTGTTTAGTCCTAGTTAGTAGGTGGACATTTTCAAAATCAATTTAACGTCGCTCAAAATTCATCCATAAATTATAGTCTCACCAAATTTGTTCATACCAAAACATACATTAAAGAAGGTACGATTGAATAATTTCATTTTAGTGATGATAATATACAATAAGAGCATATTAGAATAATATAATATCGTAGGAACGTATTACATAGTAGGAATTATGATAAGACACCGTAATCGAATACAATTATAATAAATATCTCTATAATGAATCAACAATTATCTTTGTGCATATATTTCATCATCGTTTTAAAGACTTGAGCGTAAACAAATTTATTGGCGATTTCCATTGCAAACTACCGTAAATAAAAGAACTGTCTAAAGAAACTAAAGTGGACTAAACAATTGACGTTTTTCCACTTTTGACTGTTTCTTCATTAATAAAAGTTGCAGACGAAGTTGCTTTGATAAATTTAGTCAATGTATTTTAATTCATATATTGGTTGTTTGGATCTTCCCACTGATTCTTAGAGCTACAATTGATAGATTCCTTTTGGACATATGTGCATCCTGTATAAATTGCTTCGATATCGCCTTTAATCACAAGCATTATAAGCAGAAATGGTTGGTGACTAGCAGTTGAATCTAGGACGCGTGTTTCGTCCTATTTGAGACTTTTAGGCTGGATGTATGTACATCCGACGGGTAATCCACACAGAATCCACATATAACAAAAGAGATTGATAAACTACAGAACTGAACATCAAAGAGAAGATTTCAACAGCTAATGTCTATCAATCGAAATTCATCCCGTTGCACAAGCGAGTGGCTATATGAACTCTGTATTTAAGTGGATGACGCTATAAAGTTCGAAGTAAAAGGCACTGCGTTCAAGACCCGAGTAAAAATCAATTCTGGAATATAGGTACATCTTACTGACGGGTCCTAGATTCCACTCTTAGCCACCATATATCCCTACTAAAAAGAAGATTAAATTTTTGATATGCTTGGTTTTATTCAATCAACTAAACCATTGAAATATCAACCAACCTTTAATATATTCATCATAATTTTTGGCGCTGAATAACGATATATATATATATATATATATATATATATATATATATAAATCAGAGAGATTGTGAATACTGATTTCTAAGGGATGATATGTTGGACAGATCTTGAAGACAGGATATGAAACATATTCCATGATTTGAAGATATATTTGCTTTTAAAAAATATACTCATTATCTCCACTGGTACGAGATTGACAATTCATTTATCAAATCACTCCAGAAGTTATCAGTTTCTTCTAGTTAAGTTCTTAATTATACCTTTAAAATTAGTCGACTGATTAGTCATTGTTACTGAAAACTGTATGATCACTGATTAGTGTCATAATGTGTTTGATTTTAAAAGATAAACACTATGGCTTTCGGTGCATAGCATTTTCATTTTGACTACAATGTTCTATAAATGATTAAGTTTGAATAGAAGGAATTTATCAGTACAATAATTTTTTTTACAGAAACTAATTTGAAAAATAATATTTATTATAGCCGAAATACTTTACCAATAAAATATTATCACTCATGATAAAAAAAGAAAAACAACATATTCAACAAAAAATATGAGGAGTTCCATACTAGAAAGAAACTGCTTCCAGGTTTTCAATGGTGATCTAACGTCAATCGATTCATAATCTCAATCAAATAAACTCCACAACCCCATAATGATAATTGCCATGTGCTCACTAGTGACTAGCTTCGTGAAGGGCTTCTTGGAGTTCTGGTGTGAATCTCTGATCAGTGGAGCTAATCAATGTCAAATAGACACAGGCATCTACCTCAGACAATGAAAGATGGCCGCACAGTTTCGTGGATTGGTTGAAGTCAGACATTATTACCGTTAGATACTGGTTCAGTGGTTTAGAGGTTAAGCGTTTGCGCGCGAGACCGAGAGTCATGGGCTCGAATCCTTCATGCACGATCGTGGATGGGCACTTCTGAGGAACCTCATTCCAGGGCGAAACGACCGTCCAGTGTTTCCAGGTTTTCTATGGTGGTCTAACATCAATCGATTCATGATCCCAAACAAAAAAACTTTATTAAGGTGTATATTTTTATTTCTAAAAATACTTAACTACGATAAAGCTGATTTTATGAGTCTTTATTTTCTTACCCCATTCATTCGTCACTTTATTCTTCACAGAGAATCATTTCATGAACTTTGAAAGATCTAACTTCTTTTACTGGTTATACAACCAATGATAGTGTTAATATACAAGCTTTAATATAAATTGAAAAATATTTCATCCAATAATCTTCGCTTATCTTCAATGAGACCAAAATAAACGTATTATTATTTCTTATCACAAGTCAGTAATAATTAAACATTGTATTTATTATAAATTAAGCTGATCTTAACAGGGATCATGATGAGACGATCCTGCATAAAACCATTTTTTAATACATGTAAACTTTTATCATTATACTTTTGTAACTGCTATTCAGTGGTCTAAAGAATAATCTTGAAGTTAATATAAAAATTAGATAGTTAACCAATCGAAGTTGTTACACATGTGTATTTTGAACAACAAACTCTTTTATCGTAGTTTACTACTATGCAGTTTAGTTCGTTGAGCTAACTAATATCAAAATATCTACAAAATACTATCAATAAATCTATGCATATAGGTCGATGGTTGCTGGTAGCTTTAAATCTGAAAAAAATTTATGACGAATAGATGAATTTTACTTTGTAATAAAAGTCGAAACGGCATTCAGTGGAACTATTTCAGGACTTAATGTGTTCGATAATGATCGAATATCATTGCTTCTACTGACTATTGATAACCAGATAGTTATAGATTATATAATCTTACTGTTACAAAGCAATCATATGATGATCTAAAAAAAGACAACGGAAAAATTGACATAATCGTTCATCGTATCTTCATATGGTTAACATTAATAGGATATTAATTTGTTACATTACAACAGGGAATATTCTTTTTCACTAAGTCTTTTTTGATGGGGAGAAAATAACAAGACCCTATTTTTTTATGGTAAAAAGGAACTCGTTTCTCTTTGAA